CTTATCGAAGCTAAATCCTAAGTAGAAAGGGGGAATGTACGCCAAAACAGAAACAACCCCTAACTCTTTATTACCTTCCTAGACAGAGAGACATACCCATAACGCAAAGTCCTTCTGGCCCCTGCAGGACGGGAAATTTAAACTTGCACAACCATGACACTACGACCATTTTTCCATGACAAGCAAGGTCAACATGGGCAGAACCAACAGGGAGCGACCACAGATTCCCCACTGGAAACACAGTCGAAAATGTGGGTAACAGGCTCCATTTGCTTACCTTCTTACCTAACGCCGCCTCCGAGGCAATGAAAAAATAAAAAGATTTGGCTCTGGGGAGAGATCCTTGATTCAGCACTTGGCTCACACACCTGAGGGACAGGGATCCCGGACACACGGGTGAGAATCAGAGGCTAACTGGAGGGAAGGGGGGGTCCTTAGGGCGGGAGAGGCAAGGAGAGGACGGGGCTGTATATAGGCTCAAATCTGAAGGCTCCTGTGTGGTTTCTAAAAGGCCCCTCCCCCTAGGTGATTTTGAAGCACACGTAAGTCTGGTCCAGAGATGACAGAACTATGCAGGCCCATTTTACAGATGTGAAAACTAAGGTCCGGAAAGAGGAAGTCATTGGCGAGTGAATAAGAGAGCTGAAAATCAACTCCAGGCTTCTGGACTCCTGACATCTTGTGACCCCCACTACACAGAGCCTTGGACATGACTGGTTGTCACAAATATTTAGTAAATAAATGCAGTAAGGGGACAATACTTGTGTTCATTTAATAATAGTTCATATCCTGGGGTCTCCCTGAATCCTCAACAGAACTCAAAGTTACTGATGGCAGTGGGAGGGGCCTGGGCTAGTTTCAAAACCTCAGGAAGCCTAAAAGGACTATGAGCTTACGTAGAAAACGGCTGCCCAGGCGGTCCAATACATCACTTTTTGGCTAGAATTAGATCAACTAGATTTAATGATTCTAGTTCTCGCAAGTCAATCAGAAGCTCTAACTAAGTGTTTCTGAGTAATAAAAATGGGCACATGAAGTCTTCCCAATGTAACGCAATTTGTTTCAGAGGCAGTTTGTCAAAAGATGGAAGCTGGTGGGCGGGGGGGG